AATCCAACATGTCGGCCCCTACCATCACAGTTTTTAAAGCTAAAGTCACCTGAACGAAATTTTCTGAACTATCATTCACATTAAGAACATTCAAAACATTTCCATAAACTTCTTTCATATTCTTTGTGGCTATAGGGGCATTGTTTCCCTTCTTGTATTCAAACAGCATTACATGCCGAATGTGTGTCTCGTCGTGTGCTATCTCTATAAGGGATTAGGGTATTGTTGCGTCAGCGAGGTCACGTGCTAGCATCACGCCACGTCCTTCTCGAACCTTCATGAATTATCGGGAGACTACTAGATTGGGGGTAGTCTGGTATATATAAGACGTTCACAACGTGACGGGGAACAGTGTAATGAGTAATTGAATGTATGCGGACAGAATATTGTTGGCCACTTGAGACGTGAGTTATCGCGCTTGTTATAGAGCACCTGTTGAAATTAAGTGTATCGCAAAGTTGTATTCGGAAAGAATAAACCAGTTTTATTTAAGAAAGGACTTGTGTTCCTAAAGTTTCGTCGGAACGAAGTTACGGAAAATTAATTAACGACTGGAGGCGTTACAAATTGGTGTCAGAGAGTGGGATAAAAAAAAACAAAAAAAAATGGAAACGAGAAGCGGCAAATCAAACTACATCCTAGCAGACTTAATGGCAGCAATACAAGAACAGCAAAAGAAATAAGAAGAACGAGAAAAGAAACAAGAAGAGAAATTGCAACAGTTGTTAGAGGAAAAAGAAAAAAAACAAGAAGAACGAGAGAAACAAGAAGAGAAATTACAGCAGTTGCAAGAAAACCTGCAACAGTGGCAGCTCGAACAGCAAAATAAACAAAAAGAGAGATTACAGCAGTGGCAAGAAAACTTGCAACAGTGGCAGCTCGAACAGCAAAATAAACAAGAAGTAAGATTACAACAGCTATTGGAGGAGAAAGAAAATAAACAAGAAGAGAGATTACAACGGCTATTGGAGGAGAAAGAAAATAAACAAGACGAGAAATTACAGCAGTTGTTGGAGGAGAAAGAAAATAAACAAGAAGAGAGATTACAACGGCTATTGGAGGAGAAAGAAAATAAACAAGAAGAGAAATTACAGCAGTTGTTGGAGGAGAAAGAAAATAAAGAAGAAGAGAGACTACAGCAGTGGCAACTAGAACAAGAAAGGAAACAGGAAGAAAGTATCCAACAGTTGCAGGAAAGAATTTACGGAAAATTAACTAACGAACGGAGACGTAACAGTATACTAAACTTTACACATTGTATAGGCTACACTAACGTGACGTTTAGACGGTTCGTTTAATTATTACAGATGATGTATGTTTTTTGGGAGGTGGTTAATGAAGGTGTTCCAAACCGCGACATTAATTTACTGACGACCTAATAGCTAATATTAACTATACATAATAAAATCTTATATTAACGCGAGGTAAAACTAATTGTGATTAATACACGAAAGTGATTCACTATTATCCGGAAAAATTAGCAAAAAATAAAATAAAATGTAGACGTGAAAGTTTTTGAAAGGTAGTAATCTTTGTAAATTTTCTAAACCTGTAAACAGTAGTAAGAATGTTGTTGAATTTCCTGCAGCTATATTTTCCTTAACGAAAACGAAATAAACACGAAAATTATTGAATTTTCGTTTACAAAAACTGAAACGAAAATGAATACAAAAACGAAAAGATATTACTTAAACGAAACTAAAACTAGATGTTTCTTCAAAACGATCACGAATGAAATTTATAAATCTCAAAACGACAACAATAATTGGTAAGAATTTGTTCACTTAGAAAGGATTCAACTTTCAACTAATTTTCTCTCGAAGGCAAATTTTTTAAACTTTCTTATGGTATTGGAAAGAGCAATAACGATCAGTCTGTAAATGTTACGGAGTTTACTAAGTATAACTCAGTACACAGTAAGCCTTTTTGTCACATACTTATAATCATAATAGAGACTAATTACTATAAAAGTTATTTTTCAAAA